TCTGAGTTTGTCTCTCTCTTAGAGTGGTGAGAAGTTTTATTGTTTAATATTGTTTAAGTTTGCTTGTTTAATAAACAGGTTTTTTTCCACTTTTTCTCCAAAGAGGTATCTTTCCCAAACTGGTTGGGGGGAGGGGCCAATTGAGTCTGCTTTTCTAAAGGAACCCTTTTGGGGTTCTTTCCCCAAATTTGCCCTGAACCAGGACAGAAGTGTACCGGCCCCTGTGGGCCACAGTCAAGGCAGAAGTGTTCCTTCAGGCACCTTTCTGTCTGCTCAGCATGGCTACACCTAAAAGTTGTCAGAAAACATGCAGCTGGATGTGGTGTAGGTTTGTGGAGTCCTCACAGCGCCAGAGGTAGAGCTCCCTGTAGATGGAGGGACAACTTTGGGTAGGTGTGCTGCTGTAAGGCTAAAGTGGCTCCACAAATACCAGCATTTGTGCTTTCTTTTCCTTACCAGGAGGTTCCATTGTGCTCAGAGAAGTCCCAGAGAAGTCAGTACATATGGAGCTCGGGAAACACAGAAGAGAAAAAGGATAGCTCGTCTTTGGCATTGGATTAGGTCATTCCATTGAATCACATCAATGGCCCAATCTTGGGATCTTTTAATATCCTAAGAGAACAGGGTTGTAGAAGGACTGACATGCTTACACATGCTTTATATCAATTGATGAAGTCTTATATAAATGCTAAGCATTCATTTTCTTGACAAGAAGGTTTACTGTTGAATTTGCTGGGAGACAAAATAATAAACCAGGATTTGCCAATAATTATTTACTGTATTCTGAAAGATTAGAAAATCTTGACCTTAAATGACTTCTTTCTATTTACACTTGGAATTCTAAAAAGGCCTAAATCCACTTCTGGGTGTAATTTACATTAGGTATAAATGGAGCAGTACCTCCAGTGATTCATGGGGTGTATTTTGATATATTATTAAGACATAGGATAAGTTATATTGTATAGAAAGTTGCAAGGAGGGAAATTCACGACATGTAAATTTTCTTCGGGGCAAATGCTGACTAAATTTAATCAAAAATTTTTGTGTGAATGCGGCCACGTAGATGCTTCATTACTTAAAACAAAATCAACATAACTTTTCAGAAGGGTTGTGTGTTGATTATAATGTAATTTAAAATTGCAATATTTTGATTCTTTTTCCAAAGAATTGTAGTAGCTTCATCTCTGCATCTGGTATTCATAGTCTGAAGAGGAAAGCATACAGGTTAGAGTTCCTTATCAGAACAGCCTTGAAGAAATTATTTTATCTATTTTGAAAGGAATTTTATCTATTTTGTAGCTCCTGTAATAAGGGGCTAAACTTTGAAGCTATTTGTATTCCTAAATAGAAGAATTATCTACTATCACCTAGGTGCTAATCCCTTTCCTGCTGTAAATGAGAGTGAGACAGATTCAGCACTTGAGAGCAAGATTGCTTCAGTCAAGTGCCCACCCAGCTTTTGATTTCTTACTTCAGGCTCTTAAATTAGCTGAAAACCTAAAGAGATGTGTCTGCATTGAAGACAATGAAGCCATACACATTTCTTATGCTAGTGACAAATTTGATTCATGGGTAAAATTAAACAGTGAAAAATTAAAGAACTTTTTTTCCTGCCAAACCAAAACAGACCATATTTTTAGGGTTTTATTTCAGAAACATTTCTAAAACATTGCTCTTTTAGATAAGTCATTATAAAGGTTTATTGACTTACAAATGGATAATAAATGCTTTAGTGCAAATTACCTTGTCTATACATAAGATCTCTTATTTTCCACAGAGTGACAATTCTTGCTTCTGCTGATTCTAGAGTAAAGAGGAAAAAAATCCAAGGCATGGTTTCCTATTCATAGATTTACCATACCAAAGGCAAAAGGGTAAATTCTACTCTTAGCACTTAAAATTTAGCCCAAGACCTGTTATGCTCAAGTCTGATGTCTTTTAACAGACACAGAGCCAAAACCTACACATGGCCAATTGCAGAACTGAGATGGCGTGCCAGATGTCCTGTCATATATTCACTGCTGATACAAGGCCTAAGGTGAAGTTAGCTGGGATTTCATTAGTATTTACCAGATACAATAAGAGTACAATCTTCCTCTGGGAGGGATTCAAACACCCTTGAGGATTTTTCAAAATTCTTTTATTTTTCTGCTTTTTATCAATTTGTGTAGTGCTTGTGGATCTTAATCTACATTTAGGAACTGTGCTTTATTATTCTAAGTAATTATTGGGAAGGAAACAAGATCTTTCCATCATCACTTTTCCACTAGCTCTGTTTCCTTTCAGTGTTTCATCCCTATGAAATGGATCAGCTTTGCTGAATGTCTTAAAGTCACCTAATTCAAGGAGAAACCCTGATGCCATCAGTGTGAGATCTGAGGGTGTGTTTCAGGACAGGCAGTCATCCAACCTCAAAGAAAGCAAGCTAAGACTATTCCACTAAAAAAAAATCCCACAACAAACTGTACTCGAGTTTATTTTCATTAAAACAAACAAACAA